TCTTGTACGCCCCGGCCCAGCCCCCCGGGAGGGTCTCCCGCCCCCAGGCAGGCTGCCACCGAGCTCCGGGCTGACCTTGACTCGCCTCCCGCCTCCCAGCCCGCGCGCTTGGAGCGGTGGAGCGCACAGGCAGGAAGTTCCTCCTTGCCCTCCCCGGGGTGAGGCCCACCTTCTCCCTTCTCATCTTACACTCCCGGGTCGGGAGACTGACAGGGGGGCTGTCCACTCCGTTTGGGGAGGCCTCTCTCCCCTCCCCCACAGGGGTGTGGCCGCGCCCCCGGCCTAGCTGGGGCCCACGCTTCCCCGCGAAATCGCCGAGGCCCACGTCAGCACCTTTCCCAGGAGGCAGCCGTTCCCAGACCAGCCGTCCTAAACGTGCAGGCCCAGCCTGGCCCCGGACTTCGGTGTGCGAGCCGAGTAGCCCTTCCGAGATTTTAAATGGGTGCTGTTGGTAGCAGTGACCCCCAGCCCTACACACGTGTCTGTGGGTACAGACTGGCACCGGCGACTTAGCGCCAGTCCCGAGGGAGGGCCCTGGCACAGGCTGTGTGCTGATTCCTTCTGAGTGAATGAGTGAGCCGACATGGCCGTCCATAGGCCTGACCCCACGTTAGAGCCGGCTCTTCGCCAGGGAAGCACGAGGCCGGGGGAGGCCGTGTTAGACCTCTGTGTGTCCGGGGCAAGGGTCCTACTGCTTTCGAGACGAGCGCACAAACTAACAGGCAGGGATTCGTTGCCGTCATCCGGCTGGGAAAACCAAGACCCAAGGACGCACACTCACTCACTCAAGGCCAGTAGCCAGGAAGTGGTAGAGTTTGGATTTCAATTCAGAACAGTCCAACTTGTGTGTGTAGACCAAGAAGTCGAGATATGTATCTCTGCTATATTTTTTAAGGATTATTTAACTTTATTTATTTACTTTTTTTCTTTAAAATTTGACCAGAGAGCATGACGGGAGAGAGAGAAAGAGAAAGTGAGAAAGTAAGCCACCAGGTCCTGGACTCGAACCACAGTATCAGCCATCTGGGAGTCCAGCGCCTTAACCACCATGCCACCTGCTGGCCCCCTGTACCTATGCTAGTACATGTCAGTCAGTTGCTACCTGTGGCTGTCTCTAGGGAGGGGAACGTGGACCCCCGAAGGCTGGAGAGATGAGCACTTTTCACTCTATACCCTTTTGGATTGCTTGCATTTTTAGCAATCAAAAATGTTAATTAAAGGACCAGCGGATGGTACCTTGCTGGACTCCCACGCTCAAGTTCCCGACCTGGTGGCTTAAACCTCATGCCGGCACGTGTGTGTATGTGCCCAAAATCCTAAGAGGAGAATGGAGAAGAGATTGCAGTGTGGGCAACCGCCCCCCCCCACACACACACACACTGGAGGTGATTTCTCACTTCCTCCCACCCGCAACCCCCTCACCACCAGCACATGTGCCCTACATGGCCAGCCCGGGCTCAGGTTCCCTCCCGGGTGGCTTGAGAAACACACTGTGTGTGTGCACGCACACCCCGAATCCCCGCGGGATGGAGCAATGGGGAAGGGACTGCGGCATGACATGGCGGTGGAGGTGGCGGTGGAGGTGGTGGTGGGCTGTTTTCTCTTTCTCTCTCTCTCTCTCTCTCTCTCTGTCTCTTCATCTTTCTGGCCAGTTCATGTGCACTCTGGCAATTGGAAAAAAAGAAGTAAAATGGAAGGTCCTTGGATCTTCCTGCATGCCCTGAGTCAGGACCCCGGGTGTGAGGCCAGGCGTGGTCAGTGACTTGCCAACAGAGTGGTTTCAGGGACCGCAGTGAATCTGCACCGGGAGCGAGGCGCCGAATGGGCCCGTTGTCATGGGCTCCAGAGCTACACGGTAAGCTGGTGCTGATCCCAGAGCTACGTGGTAAGCTGGTGCCGATCCCAGAGCTGCATGGTAAGCTGGTGCCGATCCCGGAGCTGCATGGTAAGCTGGTGCCGTCGCTACCATCCTTTTACATATGGGGAAGCTGAGCCGACCTGAGTGGAGTGCCTCATGGCTGAACCAGTCTTAGGCACTAGTAAACACCAGGCAGCTCTAAAGACAGCGATCCCAGCCTTCCCCTTAGAGCTTTGGGTGGGTTAACCCCTTCAGAGCCACAGTGTGTGGAGCTACCCTCATCTCTTGCCTGGGTGGGTACAAATCCCTCCTCACTGGGCTCCCTGCTTCCCCCTCAAGGACTGCAGTCCATCCCCATGCAGCAGCTGGAGGGATGTTTTTAAATGCTTAAGTCATGGACCAGCAGGTGACCCGGAGGTTAAGGAGGGGGACTTTGTGGTTTGAGTACTGGGCCCAAGGCCTTGAAAATCATGCCGGGTGCATGTGCATACGTGCCTGCCCGAAATCCCAAGAGGAGAACGGAGCAGAAGGAATTTCCGTGTGGCCACCCCGACCCCATCCCTGTTGCTAACTTTCCCTCTCTCCTCCTTCCTGCAAGCTCAAGCACCCTGTAATCAAAACTGAAAGACAACAAGCAAAAAATTGAAGTCAGATCTGTCTCTACTTTTGAAAATCCTCTATCTCAGAGTAAAATTAGGGTCCTTACTAAGACTTACAAAGCCCTACAAAATCTCAGCCTTCCCTCTCCCCTGTCCTGTCCTCTTTTTTTTTGGAGAGGTTTTTTGCTATAGGGCGTGTGCGCTCGCCAGACAGATAGACAGAGACAGAGAGACAGAAAGTGAGAAATTACCCCCCAGGGGGCATGGCCACACCGCAATCCTTTCTCCTCTATTCTCCTCTCAGGATCTTGGTCATGTACGCACTTGCACCGGGCATGAGATTAAGCCACCGGGTTCGGGACTCGACCCATGGTTGACTATGTCGGAGTCCAGCGACATAGCCATTATGCTAACTGCTGCTCCCATTCTGTCCTCTTTCTCGTCCACTCTGGCCACCCTGGCCAGGCACTCCTGGCTCCCTCCCTCTCACCGCGGACCTTTGCACAGCTGTTTCCTCTAGGCCTGGCATTTATTCAAGATCCTGATGGCGACTAGATTTGAAATTCTGAATCCTAACAAAATGGCAACAACTATTTAGATTTGTGGAATACTCCTTTTCTTTTCTTTTCTTTTCTTTTTAGGTCTCAGCCAGGCCTCTGCAACTGATTGGTTCTGGCGGATTCTGCGCATTTGCAGAGCCAGGCTCGCCCTGGCTGTATCCTCCTCCTTGCAGGCTTGCCTCCTCGCTTGCCCCTGGGCCTCTGGCCCCCAGCCCCTGGTTCTCCCACGGTTTGGGCCTAGGCCACCAGGAGTCTCCATGGCAACCATGAGAGGAGAGCCTTGGCTTGGGTTTGCGCCAAGGGCATCTGGGGAGCTGAGAATACCGGGAGGTGGAGTACAGGCGCCCCGGAGGGCCCCATGTGGCAGTTCCTCTTCTGGACCCTTATGCTGTCCTTAGGCCTCATCCCAAAGCCAACCTCCCTGAAAAACTGCTGTGAACCAGCCAAAACCTAAAAGTGCCAGGAACGCCCGGTTTTAGGATTGCTAGTTTAGGAATTTCACGTCTTGAGAAGTCAGGACAATGCCTTCCAAGGGATAACCTTGCAGATGAGACGTTTGTGTTTTATAATTGTTACAAAGGTTTTTTGTTTTGTTTTGATTTTTCCAGAGAAAGAGAGAGAGAGGAAGTGAGAAAGCCACCGGGGCCAGGCATGTTTTTCTAGCTGCTGAGTCCGGGACTTGAACCATATAGTCTGTTAACCATCCACTGGTCCCACAAAGGGTTTGTGTATGTGTGTATGTTTGTTTGGGGGAGAGGAGGATGAGATAGGGAAGATGATCCTAGAAATGAAAATTCTCAATGTTCAACATTGTTATAAAAATTGCCAGCTCCTGAGTGGCTCTGTGTGGTTGTTTAAAACTGCCCAGATCTCTGGCAGGCGAGACCCTTCTCCA